CAAATATTGTCCTAAGTATAGAGAGACCCAAACGGCTGCCCCAGGGCCAAAAGGCGGCCGCCGGTAGGGGTAGCAACTGCCCCTACCATTAGGCCATGTGGGGAACATAGCGCTAGCCGGCAGGAGACTCCCACACCACATGTGCCTATGGCAGAGGTTGCAAGCCGGTGTCTAGATAGCTGCCCAGAGACCGTTTGTGTTAGGATCTCTCTAGACACCTCCCTCACAGGCGTGGCCAAAGAGTTGAAAGAGAGGATGCCCGCATGGGCCAAAATGAAGAAGGAGAATAAAGGGCAACTTATATTGCCAGATACAGAGATTTTTAGAAGTAGAGTAGGGGCCCTAGTAGACTCAGGGGCCACCCGCAGCTATATTAGTAGGAAGGCGCTGCAGAAGTTGAAGTTGGGACTTAAAGTCCAAAAGCTAGAAGACCCTATAGTTCGTATCCTCGCAGACAATCGTACCATGGTTGTAGAGGATTACGTTGAGGGAGTCCAGGCGTATTTTCGCCTAGAGAAGGATGGGAAAGGGAAAAGGTCCTCCACTCCCTGACTCTCCTCGTAGAAGACAGCCTCCCATTCGACATTGTTCTGGGAATGGATTGGGGAGAGGCAGCCGGGGCCACGCTCCATTTGAAGGAGCACGAGTGTAGGCTCCCTAGTTTGTCAGGCGAGGCCAAGACTACCCACCTGTTTCATGCGTCAGGGGTAGAGAATTCCTTGGCGCACTGTTGCCTTAGTGCCCCCGCGTTCGCCAGATTGGTGAAAAAGGAGAAACTAGAGGAACAGGTTTTTGTTGCCTATGTCAGGCCAGTAACTGAGCCTAAGAAAGAGAAGCCCGTAGACCCTGCTATTGCCTAATTGCTGGAAGAGTTTAAGGATTTAACTAAGCCGCCGACAGGCACGGTGCCGCGGCCCATCCAGCACCGTATTGAGATAGAGCCTGGCAGTAGAACTCCTAAGGGTGTTGTATATAGGACGTCCCCGCGGGAGTTGGAAGAGCTACGGAAGCAATTGGACGAGCTTCTCGAAAAGGGTTGGATTAGGCCCAGTTCGTCTCCTTTTGGAGCCCCTGTTCTCTTTGTCCCTAAGAAAGAGGGAGAGCTGAGGATGTGTATAGACTATAGGGGTCTGAATGCTATTACAGTAAAGAATGCTGAGCCACTGCCTAGGATAGATGATCTCTTAGATCGAGTGCAGGGGGCGAAGTATTTTTCTAAGATAGATTTGAAGTCCAGATATCATCAAATAGAGGTGCATCCTGATGTTCAGTATAAGACAGCCTTCCGGACTAGATATGGGCACTATGAGTTCATAGTGATGCCCTTTGGACTAACCAATGCGCCAGCTACGTTCCAGCGCTGTATGAACGATTTGTTCAGGCCGTGGTTAGATAGATTTGTTATAGTGTACCTAGATGACATTCTAGTGTTTAGTAAGACCCTCGACGAGCATCAGGGTCATCTCAGGCAGGTCTTGGAAAAGCTGAGGGAAGCTAACTTCAAGATCAATGCAAAGAAGTGCGATTGGGCGAAGACCCAAGTTTTGTATTTAGGCCACGTCTTAGACGGAGACGGCATTAAGCCTGAAGACAACAAAATTGCAGCGATTAGAGATTGGCCAACGCCGCGTACGTTGACTGAGTTGCGGTCGTTTTTAGGCCTAGCTAACTATTATAGGAAGTTCGTGAGGAACTTCTCCACCATCGCTGCGCCCCTTCGCAGATTGCTAAGAAAAGAGACAATCTGGAAGTGGGACAAGGACTGCACGTCTGCCATGAAGAAGCTAAAGCAGGCGTTGATAGAGTACCCGGTCCTTAAGGTCGCCGATCCGTCCTTGCCTTTTGTCGTTACTATGGATGCTAGYCAGTACGGCATAGGCGCAGTGTTGCAGCAAGACGATGGCAATGGGTATAGACCCGTAGAGTTCATGTCCGCCAGAATGCCTTCGGAGAAGGTCGCGACATCTACCTATGAGAGGGARCKCTACGCTCTCAGGCAAGCGTTAGACCACTGGAAGCACTACTTGCTTGGGAGGCACTTCAAAGTCTATTCTGACCATGAAACGTTACGATGGTTAAAGACGCAGGCCAAGATGACACCTAAGCTTACTAGGTGGGCCGTCGAGATAGATCAGTACGACTTCGAGCTCAAGCCTGTCAAGGGGAAGTACAACGTAGTTGCGGATGCTCTGAGCAGGAGGGCAGATTACTTCGGGGCGATAGTGCATTACCTTGATATAGGGAAAGACCTGCAGCAAGAGGTTAGAGAGGCCTATGCACAGGACCCTATCTATAGTGACCTCCTTAAGAAAGTCAAAGAGACCCCAAAGACTAAGCCGAATTACCGCACTACTGAAGGATTGCTATTTGAGAAGACTAATGTCTTTGACCGGTTGTGCATCCCCAATAGCGAAAAGATCCGTAGTCTGATCTTGGGAGAATGCCACGACACAGAGGGTCATTTTGGTTGGCAAAAGACCTTAGCCAATCTGATGCGCGCGTATACCTGGCCAGGGATGAAGAATGACCTTAGCCAATCTGATGCGCGCGTATACCTGGCCAGGGATGAAGAATGACTGCGTAGAGTATGCTCGCAGTTGTAAGGTCTGCCAGCGTAACAAGTCTTCTACGCGTGCCCCGTTAGGTCTTCTCATACCCTTGCCCATTCCGGATCAGCCGGGAGACTCAGTGTCAATAGATTTCATGGACACTCAAGTCAAAAGCAGGCATGGCAAGAGCCAAGTCATGGTCATAGTTGACCGCTTTAGCAAGTACGCAGTTTTTATTCCTTTGCCTTCTGAGGCGCGTACTGATTTAGTCATACAGACGTTCTTTGACTGTTGGGTTAGTGAGAATGGAATCCCGCTGTCTATAGTTAGCGA